TAGCCACATAGGATCAAGTAAGCTAATTTGTTTGTAATAATTACCTATTAAATAAAAATTAATAAATAAATATACTAACATGCACTACACTACCACACATGCCGGACAACTGGACGGAGCTTAGAGCTTGTCCCGGCTGGGGCGGTGCCTTGCTTGTGGGAGATACCTTGTTGGGGAAAATCCCATTAGCAGACGGGTAGGGAGGCGCGGGATATCACCATATGTTGGAGACGATCACCGCCACCTGACGAGGAAAAACATGCATTTTACTTGTGGGAATAATGACCTTAGCCGTCAACACGCGCGCAAACACTAATCAGATTGTACTTTTTAGCATTTTTTACATGTTTTTGCTTCAATGTTTACAATCTTCACAGTCGGATTCCGGAGGTTTTTGATTCGTTTTTTAATGCCCTCACCGCGTAAACGTTGTTGTCATTAGTCCCGTATGTGTAGTACTTGTTAAGTTCCAGGAGGATGCGGAGTCTCTTCCACGCTGGAACATGAGTTTCGGTGCCGAGCTACATGTAGTTTTGAGGTGGATTTCCCTATAAGGTTATCTCTCCCCAACAAGGCACTACCTCAGCCGGTCCAAACTCTAAGCTTCCGACTTGTAATGTAGGTGTAAATGTATGTAAGTACGGGAGATAACTAGTGATTCAAATTTTTGTAAAACGTCGATACTTCGTTTCATTATCAAAAGCTTTTAGATTTCGATGAAAACTTAATAAAAACATAAAAATATCAATGTTTTAAATATGATGAAACATACCGAAGTAAAATATGCCGCTTTGTATGTGATACAAAACATGGCAATATTAGATTAATGTATATTCTGCTTTAAATGTGACTGACATCTTCATTTTGACATTCGGAATTTCTGACACTGGATGGGCCGTATTTAACAGTCATCGAGAGGAGCTGTCTCTGCAGTAACAATGAGTCTGATCAGAAGGTACTAGGGTTTGAGTCCGTCGGCGGCAGAATTTTCTACTCCCGAAGAATCGAATTCAGCAGCTACCCAGAGCAGCTGGCTCTGCTTGGGAGGTATTAAGAGTTTGAATTGGAGGGCGGCAGAATTTTCGCCACCGGATGGACCGAATTCAGCAGCTATGCAGACGAGCTGTCTCTGCCGTAACAACGAATCTTATCGGAAAGTACTAGGGTTCGAGCCTGACGACGACAGAAATTTCGACACCGGTTGTAGAGAATTCAGCAGCTATCTAGAGAAAAGTTCTGCCGTCCATCTGACTGATGGGTAGTCTTCCGCTGTTTCGTCGATGAATTCCAATGGAAAGCCGGGACAATAGTCTCTAAAACTGGGCAAGGATAGCGCGTGATCTTTCCATCCTCTTCCTTGTCCTTTCCTCACCCCTTACAAACGGACACACTCTCACACTTACACTGACGTACGTGTCACTACCGCACACATAGGAGATTAGAGGTTTTCCCGGAGAGCATGTTCTCTCTAGGGGAGATACCTGGAGGGAGAAATAAACCGCAAGGTGACCTGTATGTAGGCTTTGAATCGTGCCACGGAGGACACATTCACTCTACTAACGGGAGTAATGACCACATGAGTTGATGATCCAGGCAACATCAATCGACCAACAGAGTAACTCCGTTTGAGAAGCTGCTTCACTTTGTTTTATCTCTGTAATACTACAGAAAATTCACTCGAAGACCAGGCTAGTTCCAATCGCAGGAAAGCTTTGCCGAGTTCCTACCCTTCGAAAGCCACGCGCGAGGCTAGGCTATTGACATGCTATTGCGTCGAGCGTGGAAAGACAGAATCGACGTACAGTATTGACGGATTATTTCGTGTTTTGGGGCCGTAGAGTGCTACGTTCATTAGTTGCTAATGTGTAGTGCATTTGTTTAACACAGGAGGCAGCGATGTTTTTTCCGTTATTATGTTGTGATCGGTGCCAACCTATACGTTGTGTTGCGGGGTTTACCCATATCGAGATATCTCCCACCAGTGGGGCACTACACTAGCTGGGACAAGCTCTAAGCTTCGAACTCTGTAGTGCATATAAGGGTGAGTAAGTAAAGACTGAAGATAGGGCAAGAAAAGGGAAGGAAAGATCGCGCACGTGTGTTATGGTAGTGCTCCAGCATTCACCTGGTATTGATCGGTGAAACCACGAATAACTGTCGAACAGAGCAGCTCCAAACATAGAATTCTCCTCCGGGCCGTGGTTGTATTGAACCTAGCTATATAACTGGCTAAAATCACGCCACCATCGGATCCAGGATCCTAGGACCTCCCGGTCAGGGGCTTAGCTGATTCATCAGTTGATTCTCTAAGGGTCACCTCAGTGGGTCTCTACACACTCTTCACATATTTATACAAGGCTTTATCCAGCTACGAAACTCATTAAAGTAAGTTCCATAATTTGTCAATGCAAAACAGTTACTTAGCACCAACGGTGTTTTAAGGGTTTCAATGATCGAGTCTTTGACCCGAGATCCCTAATGATCAGGACTGAGGACCTTTGTCGTCCGAGATCATTAGAATCAATCAACACCAGTGGTACATACATAATATTAATTGTTTCCTTACTTTTATTGATTCAAATTAACTTATTTAATAATTAACTAGATTTTTACTTGACTCAGTTTATCTTTTTAAATTTACTTCCCCTAATTTCCTTTTATAATTTCCTCTCAGAATTTCTTCCGTACCTAGCAACATTCAACTTTTTGCATATTTCCTTCGACACCACAATCCTCTCAGATAAGTTATGCAGTAAAAATGGATCTCTGTATCGAAGGCAATAACAAACAACAATGTGTGAGTAAAAAATAAACTATACTGTTTTAGAGAAGGTCATATTTTGGTTACGTGCGGATTTACCAAACGACCCTGCCCCAAGCATTTAGCTCATGTGAAGACGTTTCTAGATAAAAGTTTTCTTTAAGGAAACAGAAACAGAACAAGCAATTTTGGTTGATTTTAACTCAACGTTCTCCTGTAGTTCTGCACTAAACCTTAAAAGTTGAAGGTTAAGAACTGGTAATAATTTTAAATATTACATATATTTCGTGAACGAGAACAATCCATTTCGCTGCTGTGCTTAGCCTTCAAGAAACATGATCTTCTCATTGTTCGTAAAATATTTCCTGAAATGTAATGCTACTATCGGAGTATTCATCGTTTAAAGCAAAATGCCTGACCGAAACACGAAGTAGGAAGTTCTTGAAAACGGAGCTATGCTGATGAGGCTGTTTTCTCGAGTCAGATTACAAATGTTTTTACTCATACTTGGAGTTGCATTTCAATACGATCTGAATCATTGGAATGCCACTTGCCGCCGATGTATTAAAAGAACAAGGAAAATACCCAGTCAGTTGATACTTCAGTGATCGTTGCATTTTAAATTCCTTTCCGGAAAATAAGTCACTCGAAAGAGTCAGCCAAAAATATAAATGCTACTTGGCGGTGGCGGTGGCGAGAGAATAATATGGACTTTGTAAATCTTTGATTTAAAGTGCAAATAGCTTCATTCCGGACCTCTACCTCAGACATCCATTCCGGCTTAAGTGACTCAGGGCATCAGTTCATGTCCCTGAAGAGCCTTCACCTAGTCCTAGTCCTAGTGCAGTATATTAGGCACAGGCTACACAGCTAGGTCGCGTTCAGTCGCTGTCTGGAGATGAATTCTAGGGACCGGCTGCTCTGATCGGTGGTTTTCCGTGATTTCTCCGATCAGCACCAGGCGAATGCCGGAGCAGTACCCTACCAAACGGGCCACTGACCGCGCGCGATATTCGTTCCTCTTCCTTGATCTATCCACACCCTACTTAAACACACTCGCACTAAAGCATTATACATAGGCAGTCGGATCTTAGAACTTGTCCCGGCTGGGGCGGTGCTCCGCTGGGTGGAGATACCTGGTTGGGGAGAATAATTCCTTACCGAACAATGTACATTTACGTTGTTTTGTTTTAATGCTGTCTTGTAAATAGTAGAATAATCTTTTATCTTTCCTTGCCGTCGTTCTTTTGCGTAGTATATGAAGAAGGGATACATTTTATATGGGTAAAAATGCAACACCTTATAACTCAACATTACAGTTTGAACATGGGTTAAATAAATTATGAATTTTTTAGTAGTTATACGATTGATCCATATGTTGTTTTTCAATAAACCACATAAAGTCTGTTGTGCATTAACTAGCAAAAAGGAGTTTTTGACCCGTAGAATCTTTTAAAAAATATCAGTTTTCAAACTCAACAATAACTATTAATAATTTGGTGGAAGACAATATAGGTTTTCTTGTTTCTCCAAGTGCGAGAGCAGTTGAGGTTTATTATTTCGTCAGTAGGGCGATTTTATAGTGATTAACATAACGTTTGAAGTTTTTTCGACAACTGAATTTTATAAAAAGTAATTCCAAAAGCATTTAGCTCATACGTAAAACAATGAAACTTTGAAATGCAAAATTAGGAAACCAATGAAAAGGAAAAATTACATAAATTTTTAATTTTATATGATTATAACTGTTTATTTTTTCCTTTGACTAAACCCACGCTAATGCAACCTTCAAAACCGATATGAATCAGAAAGCAACTATTTCTCTCAGTGTATTATTATTGCATTTAGAAAAATGTTTGAAAAGTATTCAAACATTAATGAATTTAAATTTTGCTTTTATTGTGCTATTTACGATGCATGAAATTCATCTTTGAAAGCAGCCTAGAGTATTACTAACATAATGTGACTAACATAACTGAAGAGGCCAATGATTTTCAAACAAAATCCAGTTAAATACTTTTAAGGTTTCTGCAATTTCTATCAATTTTAAGAGTTTACCGCCAATAAATAACTTCTTATTGCGCAATTTCATATCTTCTTTCATCATGATTGAGAATTGCTTCAGAAACCACTCTGATTTACTCACTCAATGAAATTTTATCACCAGTATTACGAAAAAGTCTGATTTTATACCAATCTACTTCCGGAACAAGTCTAGAATTAAATATTTCTTTTACAGGCAATGTTGCTTTGATAATACTACGATACCGAGACATTCCAGGTATAATAGTTAGTAACTATTCAAGTTACAAAGTTTGTGCGGCTATTTCTAAATCTTCACTACAATATTGACGTGTCCGTGAAATCACAGAATAGTTCAATCAAATCAAATATATTATTCGTTTGTAAAGACAAATACGAATAGTTATAATTTTAATGGGAGCGAAACTTTTTATCATCTGTTGGTATCGCTCTTGTTGAGATATTTTATTCTTAAATCAACCATTGTGTGGTTTAGGAGAGGAGAGTTGGAATTCCGGAACTTAAGAAAACGTACAGTGTTACTGCGGTTCGAAAAATACTTAAATAACATGATCCCTGCATTCAGGTAAATCTATCCTCTATTCCTTCTGTTCATAATACGACGCCGAACTTTCCTACATCTTGCCGCTTGAAATGCGATGTATTCAGTCAATACATTTTACGTGTCACTTATTCAGTAGTGATTGCTCGCAATGAGCAAATAAGGTTAAATAATGAGCTAATAAGTTTCAAAGGTGGTCTCGAAACAGTTCTTAAATATTATCATATGTCACAAACGTTCATTTCTACGCTTTTTTAAAATCAATTTTGCATGGAACGAGAGGAATATTAGAGATTCTGGAACACAGCAAAATCGGGGCAAATAGTTCGTTTATATGAAAGCTTAAATAACATCTGTTCTAATAACGTTGGTGATACGTTATAATACTCCTATTATAACTCACTGCTTGAAATATTTCTTATTCAGACGATGGATTTCATATATCATTTACTCCGCATTTATGGCAGAAAAGGCCAAAGGTTTATCTGGAAACAGTTACGTTCAGTTTTAGTAAACGCGCGGTCGAATAATCGACAGTTTCTGGTTGTCTACAACGCTAGATACTATCTTTTATTCATAATTCGACTACGTATTGTAAGAGAGAAAGAAAAGAGAGAGGGAGAGAAAGGGAAAAGAGAGGGAGGAGGGAAGGAGATAGGGAAGAGAGAGGGAGGTAGAGAAGAGAGAGGGAGGTAGAGAAGAGAGAGGGAGGTAGAGAAGAGAGAGGGAGGTTGAGAAGAGAGAGGGAGGGAGAGAAGAGAGAGAAGAGAGAGGGGGGGGGACAGAATTCCGGATTCCAAGAAAACGCGCGTAGATAGTGTAATTTGAGCTTCTATATAACAAGATTCAATTTATTAACACATCTCGCGTTGTAAATGACATTATCCTATAACCTTCAGATTCAGATCGCGTGAATTCAGTGGGTGCATTTCTTCATTTATAATTTATTCCGTACTGATTGCTAATATGTTCCAATCTTGCTCTCTATACTATTGAAATCCACGCGGGAGTTATAGCAAATGTACAGACGTGTTATCGAACGTTACATACGTTCATTTCATACGAAGTTTATTCTTAATGCAAACTTTTACGTAACATGCCAGCTCGGTGCCGGTCTTTTTACAGTCCTCCCTTCAGATGAAACAATCACAGAGGTCGCTATATGACCGAAGTTGTTAAAAAGCTTACATAAACCACACATGAGGGGAGTACGAATTCTAAATGGCTAAAAAAACTACTGGAGCTAAAACAGCACGTACTTTCTCGGATCATTTTCACGCGAAATTACGAGAAAAGTACTCAAATTTTTGAAAAATTGTACGTGACCTTATTTCAAAATCTATTTTTAAGGAACGGAATTAATTCGGGGGGGGGGAATCTCTATCTTTAATATTTTAGTTGCAACAACAATAAAAAATGTTTGAATTTTTGCAATTTTTGGAAAAACGGGGCTTTTAACGAACGTGAGACCTGCAGCAGTCTTCAAAACGTTCTTCATACTATCCAACAACAGAATTCAGTCAAAAACGTTGTAGCCACTTTGTAAATTAGGAAAATGTTCTAGGAGCTTCGGGTAAAGTAACCCTCAAAATTAAAATATCGGTTTCAAAATCAAGGGGCCGCGACATCAGTCAGATCGATTGGGTAATAGCAATTTTGGAGAAAATCTACCGAACGGTTTAGCCGCTAACGTTGCTCACAGACAGACGGACGGACGAATGGACGGATGGACGAATGGACGAATGGACGAATGGACGGATGGACGGATGGACGGACGGTCGGACGGATGGACGGGCAGACAAAGGTTTTGCCGTCATTCGATTTTTCCGTATCAATGACCTACAAAACTCGGATTCTGACTAAACCTGAGGTTTGCAAACATTTTTCATCCACGGCTTCCTTGAACTAAACGACACCTTCTGAGGCTCCCCTGTTCAAGTTCCAAATACTATTATTATTATTTTTGGATTCAACGCAAATGCATAAGTGATATACGTTACAAGCAACATATAGTGTGATAGTACAAAATTAATTTGTGTGCATTAATGTAACAAGGATTCAAGTAAATCAAATCTAAAGATCATTTTTAATAAATCACCACGACGGCCATACAACATGGTCGCGACGCAAAGTTTGAAAACCCCTGGGCTAAAGCAAAATGGGTTAGAGCTTTTTTCTTAATTTAGCAACTGGATTTATTCACTTTTTTGTTACCAGGGTCCTGTAATATGCGTTTTCTGCGTTATTTCGCACAGCATTACATCACTTATTTTTTTCTCAACTCTGTAGCCAGAAAGCGAAAACTCGTGTAGATAGTTCCGGCGAGGGCGGTGACGATGTGAGCGGCATCTACTAGGCGGCTTACCGCCCTCGCCGTCGCCGCAGCTTGCCCTACGGCCCAACCCACCAATGAGCGTCATGCTACTCGACTCGCCATTGGCTCTTTCGTGTGTACGGTGCCTCCCGCCCCGCCGCCGCCTCCGCCACCGCCATCGCAGCCACCGCCTCCGCCGCCGCCTCCTCCGCCGCGCCGTCGGCCACCGCCATGCACCCCGCCTCCGCCGCTCCTGCGCCCCCACCGCCTGCCCCGCCGTCGCCACCCCGCCGCTTCCGCGCACGCCTCCTCCCCTCCCCCTCCTACCGCCCGCCCCCCCGCCACGCGCGGCCTCCTCTCCTCCGCCCCGCCGCCACCGCGCACCGCCCGCAGCCTCCGCGTTGCGGCCTCCGCCGCGCGCCGCCTCCCGCCCCCACCCCCGCGCCCCACCGCAGCGCCGGCCTCCTCCGCCGGCCGCCCGTCGGTTGCGCCTCCGCCGCCGCCGCTTCCGCCCCCACCGCCCACCCCCGCCGCCACCACCTCCGCCGCCGCCGCCGCCGCCACCCAACTACATACTCCCGTCCGCACTCGCTGCCTTCAGTAGCGCTGTAGATGGCCTCGTATGTGGTCGCTCGGCGGTCGCCCGGCCGCAGGCTTCATTTCTACCAACACACGCTGCCACCTTTTTCGTCTCATGAATGACGTCTACACGCCCACTCATACCGTGCCCTCATCCACTGCGTTCGTCTACAACGTCGGGCAGTCGGCGCCGCTTGCCCTAGTGAGTCTCCGGTTGCGAACACCTACGCGACTTTCGAGCAGTTTGGGAGGTACGTTGGTACTTTGCCGCGCGCACACGCTGGTGAATTGGTTTCTGACGCCAGTTTTCATTGTTGGTGAATTGGTTTCTGACGCCATTTTTCATTGTTGGTGAATTGGTTTCTGACGCCAGTTTTCACTGTTGGTGCCGGACGTTCTATCGGCAACTGTGGTGGCATCGAACTGTGAGGATTTGAAACAGATGTGTTTGTGACATATTAGTGGACATGTGCTAGTGGAATATGTTATGAGTACGTGAACTGATAATATGTGAAAGTTATTCGTTTTATACAGAAATTTCATATTTTTCTGGCTGCCTGTACAGCTGACTGTGTACGAGTGTCGCACTAGTAATTGCTGTGAAAGTAGGAATATCAGTCTAGTAAATACTGTCTCACAAGTAGTTTGTCAGTGAATATTGTTGTTGATGGTATGAAAGTGATTCGATTTCTGTTTTCACGACGTATTTCCTATTGTGCCTTGTAAAAAAAATATGGTTGATTTTCCACCAGCTTGATGAAATACGATTGTGATATTCCAATGTATAGATGCCCGTTAAATATTTTGTGATTTCTTGGATTAATAACATGTGCGTGTTATTATATTTCTACAAAGGTTTCATAGTTTTGTGGTTGCCTGAATAGCTGACTCTTGTGTAAATTCCACACAAGTAATGGTAATGAAGAGCGCTGCAACTTCATAGCTTGATGGCATCGAAGTGATAGATTACTGTTTCGACGACTTACTTGGCAGTGTGTCATGAAATAAATTTGTGGTTGCTTTTCATCCACTTTTAAGAGATAAATTTGTGACATTCCAATTCCCATATGCCAGTGAAATATTTGTTGATTCATGGTCTAATAACATTTAGTGTGACTGGTTTCCAAAAGCGGTTTCGTACATTTTCTGATAGCCTGTACAGTCGAGACTGTAGGATTGTTTCACGAGAATTGAAGTGAATAAATGCCATTGAATAATGTTGCGGTCTCTTCCGTTGATGACATCAAAGAGTGACGATATCAGTTTTGACGACTTACTGATTATTTTGACTTGAAAAAAAAATATGGTTGTTTTTTCACCAGTACTAAGGCATACTTTTGTGACATTACAGTGTTCAGATGCCAGTGAAATAATTTGTGGCTTCGGGGACAAATATCATGCCAATGTGTTTCGTTTCGTACGAAAATTTTGTATATTTTCAAGTTGCCCGAACAGCTGACTCCGTAGGCATATTCCACGGTAATTGGAGTGAGGTATGTGCCAGTGAATATTGTTTCGGTCACGTACATTGATGGGACAAAAGTGACACTTTTTCTCATTGGACAACTTACTTCCTATTTTGTCTTTTAAGGCAATAATGTTTTACGAGTTTTAAGAGGTATATTTGTGACGCTGCAGTGTGTTGATGCCAGTGAAATATTTTGAAACAAATGGTATGCGACTGTGATTCGTTTTCTATAACTGTCTTATATATTCTCGTACAGGAATTTTGCACGATTCATTGCAGTGAGATATAAGCCAGTGAAAAATGTTGTCCTCATAAGCTGATGGGAACAGGGAGTTAAAGTAAAACTGTTTCGATTTTGGACGAGTTACGTCTAGTTGCGTGAATTCTCAAAAAACTCTTGGTTACTTTTCGTGACGTTTTTAGATACTCTTTAATTGACATAGAGGTCAGTACGTCAATGCAATATTTTGTGAATTCGTGAACTGATAAAGCCGCTTGAATATGATTCGTTTACTGCCTTGGTGTACATTTCTCTCCGTGCATGAGCAGGTAATTGAGTCAACTCCAAGTAAATTGAATGAATCATAAGTAACTTGCATGAACGCCAATGAACGTGTATGAACAAACCCTTGCAGTAAGACTTGCATCACAGGAAAAGACCTCTTGGACTGTAGGTATCATGGCTTTCAAGTGATATCATTGCTGTTTTGGTGACTAACATAGTTGCATGACTACCCGTAAGAAGCTCTTGGTAATCTTTCGTGCAGTTTTAAGAGGTCCGTTTGTGACATTTCTCTGCGCACAAGCCAATAGATCGTTTTATGGTTTCCACGACTGATAACAAGTTAATCGCTTTCTCTCGAGTGGCCTTGGTGGAATGCACGCCCGAACGAACTCTGTGGTTGTGTTTGCATTAATGTAGATGTTTGTGACATTGCAGGGAGCATAAGGCAACAAACCGTTTGTGGCTTTGTAGATTCAATGTAATTGATTAGTGCAAATTTTTCTACTTGGATCACTGTGATCTTGTGCTCTATATGTGTCTATGTTAACAGAAAATGAATTCCTTGTTACAAAATAAAGTAGATATAATAGCAAGGATGCAGCCTCTAAGTTGTGCCAACTTAGACTTGCAATGTCATTTTTGTGTGGTGTAATACCGGATATTTTTTGGAAAACCTAAAATTGTAGTACAGAAAATTACTTAGCACAGGACATACGATACACAATTTGAGTCTTAATCACTGTATTTTCTGGAATTCAAACAGATGGTAACATGGCTGTGTTTCTTAAGATTGATGTACAATTATTTCAGTATTATTTGTGATTTACGACAGAGCGTATGCAACCTTGATGATATCGTATTTATCTGGTGTGCGGAGTATTGGTTTCTATTGTGTCTTACGGTTCAGAGATACAAGGCGTTTCAGAAAAAAAACACGTAGTACGGTTGTGATTGTTTGAACCGAGCCTGGCTAGACATTACTGTTCGATTCGCCTTCTTTACAGCCCACAGGCGTGTTGAGTAAATACCTGCGCAAACCGGCAACGGCGCCCAGGCAACATGTCGAATGAGGGGAACATCAATAGGCGGCGCCTAGCCCCGAACTACGTGCCACGAGAACGACGAACCATTGCGAGAACGTTGCAGCAGGGGCCTCAACAACAGGCCCAACAACATCAACCCCTTCAACAGCATCAAGCTCTTCAACAACTTCAACCCCTTCAGCATCAGCTCCCTCAACATCAACCCCCTCAACAACATCAACCCCTTCAACAACATCAAAGTCCTCAACAGCATCAACTCCCTCAACAACATCAAAACCTTCAACAACAACAACAACCCCCTCAACATCAAAATCAATATCAACAAAATCAACATCAACAAAATCAACAGCATCAAAATCAACAACAACAACCTGAAGATGAACGTCACTTCCACCACCAACACATCACGTTCATGCAGTGGTTGGAGCAGCAGCGCAGCCAAGAGCGCGAACAGCAACAACAACAAGAACAGCAACAGCAACAAGAACAGCAACAGCAACAAGAACAGCAACAGCAACAGCAACAACAAGAACAGCTACGGCAGCAACAAGAACAGCAACGGCAACAACAAGAACAGCAACGGCAACAACAAGAACAGCAACGGCAACAACAAGAGCAGCAACGGCAAGAACAGCAACGGCAACAACAACAGCAACTGCAACAACAACAGGATGAGCGTCGTCTGGGGGAGGAGAAGCAATCCCAGCGGGAGGACCGTCGCCGCAAGCGCCGGCAACGCGTGCAACAAGCGCCTAACTCCCTCGCGTCCGCGCAGACGTTCGGCGAGCCGATGGCGGCCAGCGGGGGCGGAACGGGCGCCTTCCTCGCCGCCAACGGCGGAGGCCGCTTCCCCTTCGCCAACGGCCACTCGTCGCCGGCCTCGTCCGCCACGCCGTCCCCGACGCCGAGCGACTTGGAGCGGCCGTGGGCGCGGAAGCGCAACCCGCAGCGCTCGGCGCCCTCTGGCGGCGAGCCCGCGCTCTCTCGCAGGCGCTCCCGCGTCGAGACCGCCACCCCCACCACGGAGGACGGCCCCGGCGGCCGCCACGCGCCCCTCGGCGAGCGGCCGCGAGCGGCGTTCGAGGCGAACGCGTTCCCCGCGCTGCAGCAGGCGGACGCCCACGTGACCGCCCGCGCGGAGGAGGCGCCGCCGGGCGGGGCGGAGTGGGCGCGACGGGT